CTTTGAGATTTCACAATTGTAGCCCAGGATCGTGTTTAAAAGAACAGGGTGAAAGGGCCCAAAGGTACCCGGTTAGAATCCTAGCCCCATCATCTACTAACTGTGCTGCTTGGGTCGACCTGTGGCCTTCTCTGACCCTGTTTTCTCATCTGCAAAATGGGCATGCGCCTAGGGGACATTAGCTTCTATTGCCATGACGCTGTAGAGTCTGCTGGACAGGGGAGCCCTGCACTGTGCCGGGGTGGCTGAGAAGGTGACCCCACAGCCCCTAGAGAGGATGGAAATAGGGAGAGCAAGGAGTCAAGAGCCCCACAGGCCTGGGGTCTGTGTGAGTGCTGTGAGCCGGGAACAGGGCTACAACGGGGTCCTCCGGGCCGGGGACTTTCCACGTCTTTAATGGTTCCCCAAAGCGAAGGGCTGCAGGAGTTCACGTGGCCCTGTCTGACCCAGTTGCATGAGTGCAGATGAGCCTGGAAGGTCAGCGAACGGTGCCCTCTCTGCATGAGTTGGCCTCACCCGTTGTTTTCATTGCTTATCTTAAGTCAGTGAATTGATTTCAGGCTCTAGGGGGAGATGTCTCCTCCAGTGGGAGCCCCAGCCAGGCGGGGTGGGGGGACCGGGTTTTGTGGATTACCATTAGCCACGAGAGCGGGGGAGGAAGGGAGCTGGGATTATGGAGGGGCTAAGGGGGGAGAGGGCACTGGATTGCCCCGGGGGGGATCTGATTCGGAGAGGGGGGTTCCCAGAGGACAGCTGCAGGGGGAGGGGAGGGCGGGCAGTGTCACAGAAGCCACCTTGCTCCTCCCGCTTCAACCAGCCATGGTCAGAGCACTGATGTGGGCACCCTCCTGACCTCAGGAAACAGTTCTGTGCCCAGGGCAGCCCCCTGGCCACACTTGTCTCTGAAGACAGGACATGTGGTGGGGAACTGGTGGGCCTGGGTCCTGAGTCCATTACCCACACCGGGTCAAGTCCCCCTGACCTGGGGATCCTGGGCCCGGTGGGGGAGGGAAACTCCTAGCTGACTTGTAAGAACCAGAAAACAAAGAGCCAGGGCCCAGGACACAGTGGACCAAGCCTTTCTCAGCAAAGGAGTCGGGAGGAGTGGGATGGGAAAAGGGCCATGCCCCCTCAGTGGGAGCAGGAGGAGGCTCTGCAGGGAGGGTGCCTCCCACTCAGGGGCGCTGACACACACAGGTCAGGGGTCTGCACCCAGGGCATCACCCACTCCCCAGTGTCCAGAGCCAGCCAAGCCCTGAGGTGGTGACCAGGCTTGAGTCGTGAAGCTGGCCTCTGGGTCATGCCTCGAGGTCCCCCGGGGCCGTGTGAGCACTGCTCTGTAGGCCTGTCGCATTTGCAGGCGGTCTCATCGTGAGGTGTGCCAGCCTCCTTTTTATCCCTATGGCCGGTGTGCTGTGTCCCTGGTCCCCTCCCACCCCATGACCACGCTGTCAGGCTGGCACTGTTGTTGGGGGGACACTAAAGTTCAGAGATGTGAAGCAGCGACTCATACCACCCTTCAGTGATGAGTCAGGGTCAGAACCCAGGCCTCGTGCCTCCTGAGACCAGCCTCTTCCTGGAAGTCCCTCAGTTTCTGGCCAGGCCCTCGGGGCTGCCAGGCTCCAGAGACATGAGTGTTGGACAGTGAGGGTCAGAAGGCTGTGTGGAGGTAATCAGCCACACCATCAGACCAGAACCCAGGTCTCACTGCAGACGCAGGCCTCCCGGCCTCACTTTTGGCCCTGAGTCTCCAAATCAGCTGTCATTTGCGACAGAGCCATCAGCTGCCACCTCTCCTGTCTACTTTTCCGAGACGGCGGTTTCATCAAGCTCTGAGTTCTTGCTCCAAAACTTCCCCTGGCCATAGCCGACTTGGGCCAGGGCCATACACTGTAATGATCCAAGCCCTCCAGCCCTAACTGCAGTGTAGTAAATTACAGAGTGTGGCTTTTCCAGCCATAAGTCTTTGTGAGCTCCATGGTGGAACTGGCCATGAGCAACCAAGTAGTTCCTGAATGTTAGTCATCCACCTGGGGTATTTCTTTTGGGAGCAGCATGAAGTAATTTTCTGGGAAGTTCGCTCTCTCTCAGGTGTAGGGAACTCTGATGTTGGGATTGGTTAGTTTGGCCACTCTGCCAGGCTCAGAAGGAGGCCTCCTAGAGGCAGAAAGAGTCTCTCTCTGACTGCTGGCTGAGAAAGACGTGCTGAGAGAAATGCACTCCTGAGAGACACACATTGCTGAGAGACACACACTGCTGGGAGAGAGACACCGAGAGACTGTTGCCTGAGAGATGGCAGGCTGAGACTGAGTGTTGTTCTTGAACTTGAATTGTAGCCTGGTGCATCTCTAATAAACCCCATAATCTGTGAGTTCTGTGTGGCCACTGCAGTGAATTATCGAACCCAGCAGAGAGATGGTGGGTGCTGCAGGAGGAACAGTTGGTAAAAGGGCTGGAGGGAGGCAGGGTGTCTGGCTTTTTAGGAATAGCCTTCGGGTTACTGATGGTGATTTTGTCTTCTTCCTCTTGTGGGGTTAGAGGAGGTCACAAGATGCGGCCTCCGTGCCCCTTTGGCAGTAACATAACAAATCCTGGAAGAATACAAAATAATAGACATCTTATTTTTCCAGATTTCTCCAGAGTCTTAAAGACTGGCTTAATTGCACTACCAGATTTTATCATTTTCCAGAAGGATTTTTAAAATGGGGAGAAGCTCTTCAAAAAACTGGATGACTGTCTTCCCTCCAGAACAAACAGGAGGGTGGCTCTGTTGGGCTGAGAGTGCGTCCATCCTAACCCAGTCCTGCAGCCAACCCTGGGTGCTGCTCAGCGCCCCCATAGAAGAAGCAGGACCCAGGGCAGGTGGGCAGGGCTGTGTGCAAGCCCTATCCAAGCTGAGCGACCCGGTCAAGCCCCAACCTCCCAATGCCCTGGAGCAAACCCAGTGCAGCATTACTCCTTGTGAGAACCACACAGATGCAGGTGAACCAAGTCTCAGGGAATAAGCAGGGATTGGTCAGGGTGGCCCAGACGGTTTGCGATTGGCTACTCCTTGCAGAGCTGGCAGTCCCAACGCACTCAGCAGCACTTTAGAAGAAAGGCCTGTTGCCAGCCGCTCAGGGAGAGTGAGTGGTTGGACCTGTAGGCTCGGGACCATGGTCGTGGGGGACATCAAGCTCAGCTGACATAACATACTACCCAAAACATCGTTCCACATCCTACTTTGGTGAGTGGAGACTGGGATCTTGGAAGCTTGCGGGCGGCCATCTAGATGCAGCGATGGGTCTCTCCTCGTCCAGAGCACAGGGCAATGGGGAGGCCTGGGACGCACGTAGGCAATTGATCTGGGTGGGCTGGTACACCACATGATTCTCAGCCTATGCACCTGTGAGGCCGGGGGAACTGGATGGTGCCTGGCTGCCACTGTCAGACACTCGGAGAGGGGTCTCTGTGGGGAATCCTGGATGGAGTGGGGGAGGGCAGTGTGGAACAAGGCTCAAAGTCACTAAAGGAAGGGTCCACTGGCTTTGCTGGTCTGATGGAGCCTGGTGGGACCACTAGGACTGTGGCCCCTGGCTGCCCTTCAGGTTGGAGTTGAGTCCACTCCTGTGGCTTCCAGCTGGGCAGGGGACAGGCATGTGAGCTGGGCATTTGCATTGGGTGAATGCACTTCTTGGGAGGAATCAATCATGGGGGAGTGGAGGGGCTGTGTGTGTGCAGGGGGACGGCTTGCCAGGGCGGGAGTGCATGGGAGGGAGGGACATGGGGAGGAGGTGACTGTGGAGGGGGGAGGGGGAGGGGAGCTGTTGCATTGTGGGAGATTGTAGTCAATGTGGTGGGATGAGGTGTGTGGGGGCTGCTGTATGGAGGGTGAGTTTCCTGGGTGGACTTTCACCCAAATCACAGTGAAAACTGAAAAGAAGGAACGAACTCCTGATAACGTGTTTCCGTAAAGATTACCACCAAGAAAACCCCTTGAGCACTTCTGCTCTGATGCACACGGGCTCACCTTGAGGTGGTGGCCCGGTGAGGGGGTGGAGGAAGGCATCCAGACAGAGGGGATGTGGGAATAGACGCCCAGAGAGGGGCGTGGGCTGTGTGTGCAGCCCCTGCCCCCAGTGTGGCGCATGGGGCAGGATGAGTTCTCAGTGGTTACACCCCTCTTGTCCTGTCTGGCCCATCTGACACCCCAGGAGATTATGGGATAACTCTCCCCCAGTCTCTGCTCAGCAGGAAGCCCCTGAAGAGAATAAAGGCAGGAACCATGGAAAGGGGCTGGGCCAAAGGTGGACAAGGCGCCTGAGCAGAGGTGGGCTCTGGGGAGCTAGCAGGGCAGGGAGCCTTGCAGGGCAGTGTTGTGAATGAGGTCCTGGGTGAAGGAAAGTGTAGGGATTTGGGGACCTAGGGGGTGGTGAGGTGTGTCCCCAGTCGTTCCCCAATCAGTGCTCCCTGTTTTATCATAAAGCTAACAGCTTTTTTATTAAAAAAAAAAAAAAAAAAAAGACCCCCAAACCATGCAGAATCACGCAGGGATTTAAAGTCTGCTGGGAATTCCCCAGAAGTGACCCCTGGAGTAGGGGCTCCTTCCCTTTCGGGGAGCTTGGCGGCACCCAGTGAACTCATCAAGAGTGAACTTCACCGTATGAGCTCTGCCCAATGTGACCACTGTGACAGCCGGACACTGTGACAGTCATATGGTCGGTTGGTCGACTTCCTGGAACTATTAACGCCTTGAGTTCTCTGGGGAAGGAGGGGCCTCTTTAGTGGCTCAATGAGAAACTCAAAATAACAGCGTGTCCTGAACGATCTGGTCCTGGCCCCACATCTTCCAAGTCCCTTGGGATCCCATTCCTGGGGCTTTAGTTCCGGGCTGAGCTAAATAGACCAAGGAGAACCCAGCCTGGCCTCGCGCCAAACCCGTGGGGGCGCTGCCGCAGGCAGGAGCCCAAGCCTGCTGTCCCCGCCGAAATCAATCTTGCTGCTCCCTTGGAGCCGCGTGCATGATCTTCCCCGGATTAACAGCCCGGCCTGCGTGTTCTCGGCTGTTCGCTGCTGACCTCACTTTAGCACTGTCTGCTGTTGGCGGCAGGAAAACCAAGGCGCTGGAGACAAGGAAGCTGGAAGGCCAAGGGGCTGGTGCGGGCTGAGCTCTGCGGGCGGGTGGCTGCTGACCCGGCCCGAGACAAGCAGCCTCTAGCAACTGGCAGGAGGGCAGAGGCCCGGCCAGACAGGGCTGCTGCTTTGGGGGTTTCCAAGCCGCTTTCTGAGGCAGCTCCTGCCTTTGTAATGGTCCCTGAACATCGTGGCCCTGGGTGGAATGGGCACACGTGGAACCAACCCTCTGCCTGGCTGGAATAATTACCCTCAGAGCCTCATTCGTTGCATCCAAACTCGACAGATGCCCTCTGTGTTCAGGTTCGAGGCCAGGCTTGTCTGCGCCTCCTTCCGTGGATTGTTTTGTTGTTGTTTTGCCGTCGAGTTGGCCCCGACTCATAGCGACCCCTCCTTGGGTTTCCGAGGCAGTATCACTACGGAAGTAGGATTGCCCAACCTTCCTTCCGAGGAGTGGCTAGTGGGTTTGAACCGCCAGCCTTCTGGTTAGCAGGCAAGTGCTTTAGCCACTATGCTGCCAGAGCTGCCTTCTCTGCGTCTGCTTAATTTGGCCTTCCTGCCTCCTTCCTCTTCACGTCTCACGTTTCACTGGCTATTGGCGTTCTCGTTCCTGCGCGTTAGTCTCGGCTGGAGCACAGACAAAGCGGGTGGCTGGGAAGTGCAGACAGGCCTTTTCTCACAGCTCGGAAGGCTGGAGGCTGGACTCCAGCACCGGCTGTAGGGGAAGGTCCCTGTCTCCGTTCTGCGGCCTCGGTGCTCCTTGGTTCCTTGGCAGACTTCACATGGCATCTGGTGTCCCCATTTGTGCTTCTTCCGGTGTCTGGTCCACTCTTTTCAAGACTCAGAGGTGATGGGTTTAGGACATACCTTACACTGACATGGCCTCATTAACATAACAAAGAAAACTACTTCCAGGTAGGATTGCATCCATAGACAGCTGCTCTGTGCCACTGAGTTGATTCTGACCCATAGAACTGCCCTATAGGGTTCCCATGGCTGTAATCTTTACAGAAGCAAAGACCAAACCACACCCACTGCTGTGGAGT